TTCTTGGTGTTTCAACAGCTTTTGGATGACTTAGGGCAGTTACTGGAGGCTTTAGATCGATAAAGACTCGCATCTCTCCTTATACGAACCAATAGATTCGTTCGCTCGGTTTGCGCACTCTAACGCCCTCTCGAATTTACAATTGAAATATTGTGTTATTTGCTGCCATATTGTTATTTGATTCTTGTGATATTGGTTATGTGTTACTTGTTATGATATTATCATTTATGTCATCTTAGAAAATAATTTATACGTAAATTGGTTTGAGTTTGCATTTGTGTGTGGGTAAATTGGCTAAGTAAAACTTTTTTCGAAAACATTATTTTGCTAATATGGCCTCTCGAGTTGAATTGTCACAATTCAATGGTAAGGGAGATTATTCCATTTGGAAGCAAAACATGAAAGCTATTTTAATTCAACAAAAAGTTTCTAAAGCTCTTGACGACCCGGAAAAATATCCCGATGCATTAAAAGCTAAACCAGATGAAATTGCTGAGATGAATGAAATTGTGCATAGTTTGATTATATTGCATTTATATCTGATGATGTGTTAGGACAAGTTAGACGATATAAGGCAGTCAAAGAGTTGTGGGAAGCACTTGACAAGCTTTATTTGGAAAAATCTCTTCCAAACAAAATACATTTGCTTCAAAAATTGTTTAGTTTTAAGCTGGACTAGGAGAAGGATCTTGAATCAAATTTGAGTGACTTTAGAAGACTCGTCAAGTGTTTGGCCCACAACGACAAGAAATTTGATGATGAGTATCTAACGGTTATACTTTTAAATGCTACGCTCGAATCTTATAGAGATGTTAGGAATGCTATCATGTATACTAGGGATACTTTGACCCACGATATTGTGACCAATGCTTTGAGGGCTAAGGAGCTAGAGCTTAAGAAAGAGTCCAAGGGTAGCTCGAGAGAAGAGAGTTTGTTTGCTAGATGGAGGAATAAGACGAGGGAGAACCATTTTCAAAGTAAGAAGGGCAGAGGAAAATCGAAGGGTAGGTCTAAGTTTAGAGATAAGAGTGGTAAGAAATGCTTCCATTGTGGCAAGTTATGACATTTCAAGAAAGACTGTAATGACCTTAAAAAGAAACAAAGACCGCAGCACAATGATGATCAGAACTTAGTTACTGTAAGTGATTCCCTCGATTGCCTACATGTTATAACCGTGTCAGGAGATTTTGACACCGAGGTAAATGGTGCTTGTGATAACATACATGTCATGAATGTTTCTAATATTGATTTTGACATTGAGTGGGTATTAGACTTAGGTGCTACTGTTCATATGTGTCCTGTTGTATCTTGGTTCTATAACTATAGAGATGTGAATCCTAGAAAAGTATACATAGGGGATGATCGTACACACAATATAGAAGGAGTATGTGATATTGCTATTAGAATGCATGATGGCATTAGCAGACCCCTTAGAGGTGTTAGGTATATCCCGAGCTTGGCAAGGAATCTCACTTCATTAGGTACTCTAGAAGAAGAAGGTCATGAGTTCAAATCTCATGCTGGTACTTCAAAAATTTGTAAAGGATCTCTAGTGGTTATGAAAGGTCCCAAGAAGAATGGGTTATGTCCTTCAAGGTAAAACCTTGGATAGCAAAGAGTCGGCATTATCTTTAGTTTGTAAAGATAAATCAGATCTTTGGCATAAGAGAATGCGACACATTGGGAATAAAGGATTGAAATACCTTAGTGACCAGAATTTACTCAGTAAGGATAGTATATCTTTAAGTTTTTACGAGACGTGTGTTCAAGGAAAGTTACACAGGGTTAGCTTTGAGACAGGTGAACACAGCACTAAGAGACCATTGGACTACATTCATGGAGATTTGTGGAGTCCTGAAAAACACTCCACACATGGAGGAAATAGATTTTTTCTATCCATTGTTAATGATCACTTGAGGAAAGTTTGGGTGTATCTCCTTAAATCCAAATCTGAAACTGTTAGTAAGTTTAAATCTTCGCTTGCCTTAGTTGAAAATCAAATGGGAAAGGGTGTGAAAACTCTTAGGACGGATAATGGTTTAGAGTTTTACAATTTCGAATTTGATAATTTCTGCAAGGGAAAGGGTATAATGAGGCACAGGACATTGAGACATACCCCTCAACAAAATGGGGTGGTGGTGAGAATGAATCAAACTTTAATGGATAAAGTCAGATGTATGATGATTAATTCTGGGATGAAGCCGTGTGCACTACTGCCTATTTAATAAATAGGTCACCTTCTAATTTTGTTAACTTCAAGACTCCTCAAGAGTTGTGGTCTAGAAAACCCAATATTTGTCACATATTAGAGTGTTTGGTTGTGCAGCTTATGCACATCAGGTTGAGGGCAAATTGGACCCTAGGGCTACTAAGTGTGTCATGTTAGGTTATCTAGAGGGAGTAAAAGGTATTGATTATGGGTTTTAGGTGTAAAGGGCATTAAGATTATTAAAAGTAGAGATGTTAAGTTCAATGAACTTGATATGTCTTGTCTTAAAAACCTAGTAAATTAGAACAAACAGATTGAGGAAGGAGAATCTTCTATTGGAAAGAAGATGGAATTTGAGGCGAAGAGATTAGGTGATAATCGAAAGGATAGTGAAATTCAACCTCAAGAAGAATCTGATCAAGAAGCAGTGATAGAACAACCTAAACTTGAAATTTCTAAAACTGTTGTCCATAATCAAGAAACGTCTGCAGATACTAATTTGGATGATTACCAATTAGTGAGGGATAGAGAGAGAAGACAAGTGAAACCCAATTTGAAATACATCTCTTCAAATTTGATGGAATTTGTCCTAATTTCAGGTGAAGCCTTGGAGTCAGTTGAACCGACTTCATTTGAGGAAGCGGTTATCTGTGAAAATTCTGAAAGTTGGAAAAAGGCAATGAGAGAAGAGATTCAGTCTCTAAACAAAATTGAGACTTAGAAGTTGGTTGAAAAACCAAAGAATCAAAAGGTAGTCCATTGTAAATGGATCTACAAGTAAAAAGAAGGAGTAGGACCTAAAGACCCTTTAACATACAAAGCTAGGTTGGTTGCGAAGGGATATACTCAGAGAGAAGGGATAGACTATAATGAGGTATTCTCACCGGTTATTAAGTATAAAACTATCAGGTTAGTCTTAGTCTTAGCTGTCCAGTATGATTGGGAGTTGGAGCAACTAGATGTTTAGACGGCTTTTCTTCATGGGGAGTTAAATGAATTGATTTACATGTCTCAACTTCAAGGGTTCGAGGTGAAGGGAAAATCAGAACTTGTGTGTTTGCTTAGAAAGTCCTTATATGGTCTTAAGCAGAGTCCTAGGCAATGGTATAAGAGATTTGATACTTATATGCTTAAAATTGATTTTAAGAGGAATGAATTTGATGCATGTCTATATTTTAATAACTCTAAAATAGGTTGTGAAGTTTATTTATTGTTATATGTGGATGACATGTTGCTTACTATCCTAGTTAAGCTAAAATCATAAAGATAAAAAACCTTTTAAAATCGGAATTTGACATGAAAGACTTAGGAGATGCAAGAAAAATCATTCGCATGGTTATTAAAAGGAATAGGGCTAATAATATGATGACTATTAATCAAAAGTCTTATTTGGATAAAGTGATAACCAAATTTGGTATGAAACTTGCTAAGTCTGTCAATATACCATTAGTTGCACACACGAACTTGTCATCTGCACAATGCCCTAAAACTGAAGAAGAAATGCATGAAATAAGTAATGTTCCCTATGCTAATGTCATTGGGTCTGTAATGTATTCTATGATTACCACAAGATCGAACCTTGCATATGCAGCTAGTTTCTTGAGTAGGTTTATGTCTAACCCAGGTAAACTACATTGAACTGTACTTAAATGGCTATTAAGTTACCTAGCTGGATCTTTGAAAAGGGGATTAGTGTTTGAAAGAAGAAGTAACAAATTAGAACTTAAAGGATATGTGGATTTTGACTTTGCGGGAGATAAAGATCAAAGGAAATCTACCACTTCTTACTTCTTCACTTTAGGTGATAATTGTATCACTTGGAAATCACAATTGCAACCTACAGTTATATTCTTCAGCACTGAAGCAGAATATGTTGCATTAAATGAAGCTGTAAAGGAATGCATGTGGCTGAAAGGCCTTCTATGTGAATTAAACTTCTTGAATGATAATGCTATGGTTTTTACTGATAGTCAAAGTTTATTGATGTTGTGTAAAAATTCTGTTTATCATGAACGTACTAAGCATATTAAGGTGAAGTATCATTTCATTAGGGAGATGTTAGCTTCTGGTGATTTTATTTTGCTTAAAATTGCAACCGATGATAACTCTGCAGATATTGGAACAAAAGTACTTGCGGTTGGAAAGTTCAACAAATGTTTATTAATACTAAGTATTGATAATGGTTAATTGTTGTGCAGGTACTAAGCTGGAGTGAGCGATGATGATAAAAATAAGACCACACTAATGGATATCACTTGTAACCGGGGAATTTGGCGATCAATGTTTTGTGATCCAAGGTGAAGATTTGTAAGGTGGATCACATCTTATTATTGGTGCAAGTTGATTGGTCTAGAGAATGTGACTTAGATTGTGCTGGTTATGGAGTAATATGGACCATAAATTAAATCCAATGGTTGGATTTATTCTTGTGGTCAATTACCTATATTAGTGTTGTCACTCTCTTGACCATAGTACAATATTTGAATTTTGAATTCAAATGAATTGGCTCTATAATTACAAGACCTCTTCATTTTCTCATACTTTGGATTTGGCGTAACATTTGAGAGCGAGCATAGAGAGATAACCAAGTAGGAGTTTTCCATAACTCTGACGAAATTCTTGGTGACTTCCGGCCGATCTTTTCTCAATATATCCATTTTCATTCCCATGGACTACGATGCATTATCTGATGTGACACAAATATGAGCTCAACATCAAGAACACTTCATTGGTGGTGTTGAAGAAGCTTTGGGTCGTTTTGGTTCGATTTTACACTTTGAGAGTTTATTATTTCATATTGTAGTTGTAATAATCTTTTATAAACTACACTTTAAACTCTTAAAGAAAAATACACGTATGAATTTATAAGGAGTTCGTGGGTTTGCCTTTTTCTATTTGTTGTGTTCTTTTTGTCTCTGAAACGTGTGATTAATATTCTCCTTTTCGCTGGTGGGTTTCCATAATTCCATTCTTATTATATCTTATCTTGAATCATTAAGTTTTAACATGATTTAGTAAACTCGATATTATGTAGCAGATTCTGGGAATTTATGTGACGATTATATGAGAGATCTTGGGTTTTTTACTTTGTTGGTATTTGCAGTGCCTAGATATGCTTTAAGGAGCAGTAAAATTCTTGATTAACTAATAATTCATTAAATCCTAGAGGCCCTTTATCAATTTCTTACTCCATCTGAGTAAATATACAACTTTCTTGCCTTCTCGTTCTTCTTTCTGTTCTGGGCCAATTCTTTAGAGTTAAGCAACTGACAATGTAATTTGATGAACCATTATCAACATCAGCAGCAACAGATGCGGGAAAATATGCAGATGCAGATGCAGCAGCAGGTGGGCTCTGGATTGACGCGGTATCGATCTGCGCCAAGTTCTTATTTAACAAGTATTTTAGATAGTAATTCTAGTAGTGGTGGATTTGGAGGAGATGATTTTGATCAGATTTTCAATACTCGAGCTTCAAGCCCTGAAAGGCAGCAAATATTTCCGAGATTCATGAATAGTGCTGATACCATTAAGCAAAACTACTCATCTAATATGAACCTGCAATCACAATCACAACTTGTGCCACCAATCAAGAATGAAACTGAGGTTTATCAACCACAGCAGCAATTGCAGAGGCAGCAGAGTAATGATTATTCTTCAGTTTCTCAAATGACATATCAAAGTCATAATTCAGGGGATTCAAGTTCTGGTATGGACAATTGTTCTAGCAGATTATATGGTTCAATTAATTCAGATCATGTGGTGCATATGAGTATGGATGGTGGTGGCCGCAATTCAAATCTCATTCGTCAAAGCAGTTCGCCTGCTGGATTATTCGCTAATATAAATATTGATAATGGTAATTTTAGACATTTCTCAAGTATCAATTTGGCTTGTTTGCTTGTTATTTACTTTAACTTCTATCTATCGTGTTATATGATATTCGAGATGAAGCTATTTTTTAATACCGTACTGGGAAGTCTATTATGGTAGATTGACCACCCGTTTATTGAGCTTCTAAATTTAAAAATTTGGGGAGCTTCTTGTTAAAGTTTGGGGTCCATCTCAATAAGGTCAACCTTGTTAAGAGGAGTGTCCCAATCCTTTATATATTGGTCATTGTTTCGGTATTTTACCGATGTGGGATTATATTCCCTTAACATGCCCCCGCAAGATGGTGGCTCTTTTGAGCAGACCAATCTTGAAATCCGTGTGCTCATTTTTAGAGACTTAATCGGATCGAATCGCTCGTTGGAGCTTAATGGGCTCTGATACCATGTTAAAGTTTGGGGTCCATCTCAATAAGGTCAACCTTGTTAAGAGGAGTGTCCCAATCCTTTATATATTGGTCATTGTTTCGGTATTTTACCGATGTGGGATTATATTCCCTTAACACTTCTATGTCTTACACTTAGTGTTTATTGTCCTATTAAAATGGATGAAAATCTTCACCTTATCTGTAATATTTGAATGAAGGCATCATTCTGTGATAAAAAAGGGTAAAAACTTAGAATCAGAAATGAGAAAGGGTTCGAAATACCCTATCAGTTCCTTTCTCTTGAATAATGATCATCGTTGTTGCTTAAATTGTGCATAGATTCCTATTTAATTTTTTTCTTAATGTAGTAATTTTTATTTTGCCACATGAGTTTGAACTCGTCACTGAACATGTTTTAGTGGTTCACAGACTTTGGTGCAATGAGAAGCATAGGGAACTTTGCAGCCGTTAATAGTGCTAGTGCAGAAGCTTCGTCTTTCTCTGCTAGCAGATTTAAGAATCAAATGGTTTTCCCCTCCATGAACCCTTCTTCTACAGGGATGATGACTCCCATTTCTGAAATTGGGAGTAAAAGCTTTGGAGAATCTCGTCCAGGTGATGGACATTTTCAGGAAGATTGTGCTAATGATGATGACTACATCACAGGTTTCCCGGTAGTCTCTTGGAATGATTCATCAATTCTGTCCGATGATTTCGTAAAAGGGCTAGGAGATGATGACACTAAGACATTTTCAAATATAAACGCCTCGGATGATCAGGTATTTTCTTATGATAAAACATCGTTTTATTTTTTCGAACTGATTGGTTCTGATGAGAAAGAACAACTGTGCTGAGCAGAATTCTGAAGGTGGAAATCCTCCCACAACTCTTTTGTCCCACCATCTAAGTTTACATAGTAGTTCCACCAAAATCTCTGCAATGGAAAAAATGTTGCAAGATTCGGTACCTTGTAAGATAAGAGCAAAACGGGGTTGCGCTACTCACCCACGTAGCGTCGCAGAAAGGGTAATTCCAAACATCTAATTCTCTTGTCTTTCGAGATTGGAAGAGACGAACATTCTGATATTCTGTCATGTTTATTACCATTTGGCAAATAGTTAAGGAAGTGGACTTACTGGTTTTCAATGTGAACAGCAATATGGAGTTTATACTCAAAATCAATTAGTTTCACTTGAAAATTTGATACAATTTGTTATAGGTAAGAAGAACACGTATCAGTGAAAGGATGAGGAAGCTACAAGAACTTGTTCCCAATATGGAAAGGGTAAAGCCATTGATTACATTATCTGTATTAATTGCTAATCAATATATCGTTCAGTTTTTGCTGCTTCTATTTCTGAGAATGTTCTTAAGTTCGCAGCAAACAAGTACATCAGATATGTTGGATTTGGCTGTCGGTTATATTAAGGATCTTCAGACACAAGTAAAGGTATAAATCCTTAACAAACTTGAATTACAGTGGACACAGTCCCTTATCAATAACATCCACTTTCAGGTCCTTGTTAATGCCTATTTGCTTTTCTCTTCGTATATTTAGACCCTGTCAGATAAGCGTGCAAAGTGCTCTTGCTTGGCTAAACAGAAATCATAGACAAAAGGGGCCGCTTTAGGACTTCATCCCGAAAGAGCAAAAGGAGTCTAAAACGGAAAAGTACTCTATTTTCTCCAGCACATATCTGAATAAAGTGCTTAGGATAGCATTTTGCTGGGGGTGAAGAATAGAGATGCCTAAACTGATTATAATACAACTAGTAATGGCTTGTTCGATAGGAGTACAGTACAAAACTGAATATTGTAGAAAAAGAAGGAAGCTAAAGTGTTATTCATTGTACTATTCAGTACTGCAAACCAAACATATGCCGTATTTGTATATATTTTCACGTGGCTTATTGTACTTTGGTTGATGAAAAGCATCTAGCTTGATACCCTCTTGTTAACACTCTTCTTTAGGAATGTTATACAGCATTACATCAATATCATTATGATTGCAGACAAAAATTGAAAAAGAAAAAGGTGAAGCATCCTGTTTGAATTCAGTGGGCTGCATTCTTTAGCTATATTCAAAGCAAAAAATGAATTTTCCTCCAATTCCCTGTTTGGCTTTTGCTGATATTGTGTTGTTGTCATCATGTTAGCCTTTAGGAAAGAAGTTCAGATTATCTATTTTTGTTAGCTTAATTTTCTGTAGTACATTTCCTTCTACTTGTGAAGTGCTTTAAATTTCGTCAACTATTGAGAAGAAAGTAATGCTAGTCCTTTGTAAATCTAGTCTGAAATCTCTCTCAAGGTGGCCATATATGTTGTGCTATATATGTAATATGTAGGTACACACGTGTGAAATATTCAATGTGCTCCAACTGCCCTTAGCTACCAAAAATCAACCGTTTTAATGTTCTCAAGTTTGAATGCTTTGTTCAAATTTTAAGGGCATAGATTATCCATACCTGATAGAGGTAGGACTCTGTCTGTGGACCTGAGTAGAGTGGTCCAGCATTGAGTGGCTTTTTGAAGGACAAGTTCCTTGAGTTGAAAAATGCATCAGAACTTTGTGACCTTTAATAAGTTGGGCCCCTCTATAAGTTTGTCTAGTTCTATAATGCTTTCAAATTGTATCCCATTTACCGTTCGTTTTTTAGGTTTCCATTTATTGTAAGCAGCAATCACCCGGTTTTACTGATGAACCTACTGTTTCTAAGCTTCTTTTAACGAGTTTTACATTTTCCATTTTTTGCATGAAATCAGGTCGGTATCCAATTTTAACTGTTGAACCTAGTTTAGTCGGGTTCTTTTAACGTTCGTGGTGACTAACCATCTTTTGCAGTTTCATACACAGTTCTTGTACGATGCACGAGTAGTGTTCTTGAGTTATACTGATTTCTTACAGTCACCGGCAGTTTGGGCCTTCAATTGGGATAGGAAAAAAAATACTTTTCTAAATTTTTGCGAGCTCTCAACCATCCACTTAAAGAAGCACCTTTGTTGGAAAACAATGGAGAGTAGAAGAAGATGAAAATGGAAATTCCAAATGGAATGGATTTGCAAGACTTGAACGTGCTGATGGACGTTGTCTTCAAACGATGTTGCATCCTCTCCAAATGCTATTAAAGTTTCAAATGGCAAATAGTTTGTAGGATTTATCAAGCCTAAAAAAAGAATACTAAAGCAGAAGTAATTCTTTCAAAGTGAACTTAAAGAAAACTTGAAAATGTTTGATACAATCTTAGATGATTTGGGGTAATGATATAGATTTCATGCGTTAATTTATTGATTGGGAATGGAATTAACTCATATTTATAATATTCCAATAATACACCACGAAATCAAGCCAACCATTCATCAAAAGTTAGAATATATTCACCGAAAAGAATCCAAAAATAAATCAGAGAATCAATCATAGCAACTACTTTTATAACAATAGACATTTTGCCTCAATTCCTGCAAAAGTTGCCCATGCGATGGCATGGCCAAATGATAATTCGACAACATCTGTCTTGTTTTGCTACTCTCTCTCTCTCTCTCAATTATTCTATTCCCAGATATGGGTAATGGGTGGAAATTTTGGACATTTTGATAGACAACTAAATCGATCCTTTTCTATAAGATAGGAAGGCCTATTATAAAAATGTACTTCTAAGTAATTATCTCGTAGATCCTATATCTATATATATGAAGACGAGATCATGTAATAAAAGAAATTTTTATTTGTCCAAAATGTGTATTCACCGATCTATCCACCATTTTGGCCCATTTAAGGCCCAAATAGAAAAGTGTTGAAATAAAAATTAAGAAAAAAATAAAAAAAAGCAAGTGCATAAAATAGAATACGTACCGAATGTCTTGATTAAGTCAAACACTTTTTAAAAAAAAAAAATTTGACTTTTTAATAAGGGATTATTAGCTTAGGCGAGTTTTGGATATTGAAGCAATCAAACTATGGAGAATCCTTCTTTATTGACATATTAATTTTCAATGAGTGAGATTTAACTAAACTAGAGAGGTGATGGTAGTATAAAAATTCAACCTTAGGTCACACATTTGAAAAAAGCGAAAAGAATAAGTTTGGGGGTATTTGAACTTTACGATTGATGAAAGAACATATTTGACCATTGAGGTCGAGAATTGAAACTAATGAATTCATTCTTCACTCATACACTTCGATTTTACGTTGGAAAAGTATATTTTAATTTTTGTATTGTGATTTTGAAATTATGAATAGATTTCATATTATGAATTCAATCCTGAGATAAAATGTTGGTTTAACTAGCTAAATCTTTTTACATTGCTTGATTGACTGACCACTATTTAGTTAATTAGCACTACGTATTTTTGTATTTGCTAGGTTTTAGTTTTGTTTGAAGAGAAATAAAGATTCAAATTTGGAGGTTTGATAAGTGTAGTTTCTACACTTATTTGAGATTGTTTTGCGCGGGTTAGTCGCTTACAATTAAAAAGGGATCAGACGATTGTGTAAGAGACAAACCTCTTGAGACAAAGTTTCAAAAATGGGTGTTTTTATTGGCGATGACTTTACAATTAGAAAATAAAACAGAATGCCTCCAAAGGGCGCAAGCACACGAGTTACTGAAAAGAAGTGTTTAAATCTAAACTAAGAAATTGAAAGTTACATATTCTCTGTTTGAGAGTGTTTGATTCGGGGTCTTTTGCTCTATGTCCTTTCTTCCTTTTATACTCCCTGGATGATCTCTTCGTGATCAACCGCTTAAAAATTGCTAGATCGCTCTATAACTACCCACTTTCTTCATAGTGGCCAACTTGTCATGGAACTGTCTTCTCTAACTGCTGCCATTACTTTTTGTCGTTCAACCGTTTTCAATTGAATTCCTTGAATCGTGGAACGTGATAGGGCTACTCAATAACTACTTCATTAACCGTACTTTTGGGTAACTAACATCTTATGTTTGCTAAGATCCTGGGCGACTCGAAGGTTTGGGCGAGAATAGGGTCACAGCTCTGAGCGACTGCATGGCAATCCATTCACTCAAATCTTGGGCGACTTGCAAGCTTGGACGATGATATTATCGCGTTCATGGGTTTCCCTATTTGGGCATTTATCCTGAATTGCCTGATTGGGTCGTTCTTTGGACTATCTGATTTGAGGATCCTCCAATTGGGCTTCATTCCTTGGGCTATTCGATTTGGGCTGAACTTTTTGTGTGTCAACAATTACCCTCCAATATGGCAGAATTAATATCAATTATTAATTTTTACCATATTCACTTTGTGTTTCCCAGCAACATTCGAAATTTTCAAGAATTTCAATCATTGTTTTCTTCCATAGCCTGAAAAGGTGCGACGTTTGCAAACCCTTATAACCCCCCAAATACACGCCATTTCATTGCACCACTAAATCACGCCTCATTGTTTCGCGCTTCTCTCTCGCAATATTACTGTTCATCTTCTTGCTTCTCTGCTACGTTTCTTAAGCAAACTTCGACAAACTCTATTTCATTCCTAATGGCTGCTTCACAATCTCAATCTGGTGACTTCTTCAATTTCGAAGACTTCCAGAAACTCCTTACTCGGCCATATATAACTCTGAACTTCCTTGCACCAGCCAATGTCAAACTCAATGAGTTCTATCTAGGTCCTTCATTCAACAACGCCGAGGCCATCGAACAAGCGGCGGTCGGTCAGCTGTTCCCTTGTACTCAAGGCCCTCCGTTTCTAAACTCTTTGCCGCCGAGACCGTAGATGGCATGCTCGCCTTGTGGATCATGGTCCTACTAAAGCAATTTTTGATAGTGTTAGGATTTCTGATTTGTTAGAAATCTCTCTTCAACTCCCTATTTTTGACCCAGCACTTTTTCCAATCGCTTTAAGTTTTTGGTCTTCTGAGTATAATACTTTTGTTTTCCCTCTTGGTCCCATGTCCATTATCTTAAGGGATGTTGGAGCCCTAGTAAATCTGCCACCTTTGGGCGATACCATTTTTCCTGATATTTTGATTTCTGGTGTCGTCCCAAAATTTGATAGAAAACTCACCGAATCTAATTCAAGCCTGTAAACTTGTCATAACCATTCGAGCGCTGAGCCTTCCCATGCTAAGCGTGTGGCCTTTCTTCAGATTTGGCTTTGTAAATACATTTTGTGTGTGCCAAGCATGAAACCCTCCATGAGCTATTTACCCATAGCGCACAAATTGGCACGTGGTAGGTCTCTGAATTTGTGTTCTTTCTTTTTAGCTGCCCTTTATAGAGGCATGACTTCTCTTCAATCCCAATTGAAGAATGGTGCATCTCCCACTGGCAGTGGACCTCTTTGGTTCACTCAAATGTGGTTGAGAGCCTATTTTCCATCGCTTGGTGCTCTATCCTTTTCCAGTCGCTAGCTGCTATGGGCTAGCCATTGATCCCCTAACTCCTGTAAATATGTCAAGAATGGACATTTTTTCATTCTTTTATACTTTGGATTCAATCCCTTCCTTCTTTCCTTTTCCTCCATTTTTGACTCCAGATTATGTGCAACCTCCATCTACTCTGGATAGTGCGAGCACCTCTTTGTTCGTTTGGATTCAGTTTTTGACCGGGAGGGAGTTGTTCCATGATATTTTGACTGGGACCAATGCCAAAGATGGGGTTGAAATATATGCTCCCCAATTTTTTGCTCGCCAACTTGGTTTTGGCCAAACTTGGCCCGTTCCCCCTTGCTATTCAAGAAATTTGATAGACCGCTTCCACACCATTAATAAGGTAGAGGCAGAAGCTATAGATACTCGCAATATTCTTTTGACGAGCAGCTTCTCATTAGCCCCTTTCAATCCTAGCCGTGCCATCCATCCCCTTTTTGAACAACTCTGGTCATCAGTGAAGCGCAGATTGTTTGCGACTGATCCCAATCGTGCTTTCCATTCATTGGACCCGCCAAACATTTCTTCCACCTCTCCTGTTTTGGTCACTCCTGTGTCCATTAGGAGTCCCTCTTCCCCTGCTCGTGCTAAACAGTCTGCTCGTCCA